TTCGTGAACGTTCTCATTCTCAGGAGACCAATGGCACAACTTGGATAGATGAAGCCATGAGATCCTGCAGCCTGAGGCATGTGCGATATTGTACTCTCGCCCCTTCACTGAACTGAGACAGACAGTCCATCAGCGAGCGAACGCGCTCTTGAGAGAGACGCGCTCGCATGGAGACTGAGTTCAATTCCAAGCCCAGGAAAATGACATTCTGACTGGGAGTCAGATTGTTTTCGCTCGCATTCACCTTGAACCCGAGGGATGTGATGTGCGCGAGCACCCGGCCGGTGCCCAGCGACACCTTCTCCTTTGATTTGGCTATGATGAGCCAGTAAGTCAGAATTCTCAGCCCTGATAGTCTCAGGGGCGCCACGCCCACCTCCACACACAGACAGAAAGTTCGGGGACTCAAATTGCACCCGAACGGAAGAACTGTGAATTCGTAACAAACGCCTTGGTAGGCGAAACGAAGATATTTCCTGTGTGGAGGGTAGATGCTTATGTGAAAGAAAGCATCTTTCAGATCGACTGATGTGAACCAGTCGTTCTGCTTTATGGCACAGGCGAGAGAGGCTTGTGTCACATTCTGAAATTGAATTTCCTCAAATGTTTGTTCAACACTCGAAGGTCCAATATAGGGCGGGGGGGCGCCACGCCTTTTGGAACATGAAAATACCAGGAATAAAAACCATGGTTTATCAGATTGGGTGGCACCATCTGAATCGCTCCCTTGTTAGGAGGGAGGAAATTTCCTCTTTCAGAATGTGTGTGGCGTTTTCTTCTGTGTGAGAAGAGAGAACGCCGTTGAAATGCGGAGGTTTTATTGCAAACTGCAGCTTGTAACCCTGGGTTACAGTACGCAAAAACCCACTCGGGCGCTGAAACGGCTTGCCAAGCCGCTTTGTGACTCGCGAGCGCCCCCGCTCGGGCCGGAGCGGAGCTGTATGGGCCCAGCTGGTTCATTTGTGATGCAAAGGCGCCATCTAGTGGGAACACTAGAGGCAACATGCAGGGGTTTGGAGGGATTTCCTCTCTCTGCAGTGAGAAGTTTTCTTTGCGGAGAGAGGTCTCCTCTCCAAAACGAATTAATTTGATTCGTAGCTTTGTGTGTTTTGTGTTGGGCAAACACTGGGGCCAAAGCCTTTATTGACAGAGTGAGGGAAACATAGTGTGGTGTCCACTGTACTGAACTTTCCCTCACAAGGTGTCCCCAAAAGTGGGAAAAACACATATCTCCTGAACACATGAACTGGGCAGTCTCAAGTGCAGGCAGAAAAATAATATCCGCGGAGAGAGATACTCTCTCTGTAACGGATTTATTTAATGCGTTTTTTTTTTTTTTTTTTTTTAGTGTTATTTAGTTATGTGTGTGTTTTGTGTTGGGGAACACAGGGGCCTTACACACACAACGTCCACTAAAAACACATCGGCTGGACAGCCGCAACTGAGCTGTGTGAGCCCAGTTGGTTGATTTATGAGGCAATGGCGACCTCTTGTGGACGGACTCAGGGCGACATGCATGGGATCAGAGAGATTTGCTCTCTATGTTGCCGCTGGCAGATATATAAATCTGCACGAATTCATTTGATTCGTTTATTAAATGTGTTGTTTAGTAATGTGTGTGTTTGTGTTGGGAAACACTGGGGCCGAAGCCTTTAATAACTGGGTGAGGGGAACCAAGTGCGTGCGGTGTGGTAACACTGCTATGTACTTTTCCTCACGACAGCCCCCTCCCCCGTAACTTGTTGTTGTGGGGGGGAGGGGGACACACACACACAACGTCCACTAACATGCGGGCTGGGCAGCCACGCGAGGGGATTAACCGACCGTAGGTGGGAGACCCTGTTAGTTAACGTTACTCCCAATGGTCGAACAACAGGCAGGCCGCTTGCGTTCGGGACCGCCTTCCTAGGAAGGCATACATTGAAAACCTCAACACGTAATCGTAACAAATCAAGGCCCGTGAGACCGTGTTAACAGTCTAGCGGGACGCTCCGGCCGTTCAGACTGGGCGGTGGTCCCAGCGTTTACCCGTCGTACATATTCCTATCCTGGTCGGTGGCGCTCTGTGGAGCTGGCCACACAATGTTGAAACGAACGGCCGCTCGCTCACAAACTTCCAGGAGGATGGACGGAGGCAAAGCCGCGTGAACGCTAGCCTAGGGAACGCTAAAAGGACCGCGTCATCCCCGTCGCCGGAACCGACCGGTTCGTCAACGAGAGTGAGGTTTTCCCGCGAAGATGTCCTCTTCAGGGAATGCGGATTGGGCTGATGTCAGCTCAAATATTTTAGAGAGGTGGCGCTCCGGGAGTCCCCCGGTAGCGCGTCATCATCACCGTGTCTCTCCTCCGAGTCAGAAAGGCCGAGCACGGCGCGCTGTGTCGTGCAACTAAAAGCCGGCTTGGTAAAAGTTAGCTACATGGGCAGCAATTACAATGACCGCAATTCCCCGGGTTCTCCAAAGCTTGAGCGTGTTAAGCCCAAGCAGACCGCGCAGAACGAGAGGGTCCTTATAGCGGCGTTGAGAGCACCACACGCGGCCGGGCAGGCTCGTCGTGCTAGGCTGTTCCCCGGGGGAAGCGGCTGTTTAGACGGTCACATAGCCATGGGCGGGCCAGCGGTGAAGAACTCGGAAAAATCCGTGGCGGGCAGCCATGTAAAGGAGGAGCAGGTGAAGGACAGCGAGAGCTCGGGCGGCTCCGGATGCAAAAAACACAGCGGATAGGCTGAAGAAACGACTGTCACTCACGTCTGGCGGAGGCTGATCTGGCGATATGTCCTCCTGAAGACTCGAAAGTGAGCAGCGTAACGTTAATCCAACCGAACTGTGTCAATGCAGAGATCGCGAGAAGCGAATGTCAACTGAGGAATAGCAGCGCGCCCAGCTGTGATATGCCCGTAGGTAAGGGGGTGTGGCCTCACCTGGCATTGGCTGCGCGCTTCTGTCTGTTAGCCAGACTTGGTGCAATTGGATGCTTCTGCAGAGGTCAGGTACGGATGCCCTTCCCATAGGTGGATCTCGAAACGAGATGATGAAAGAGAACACACCACGTCTCCTTCCATTAATAATAATAATGTCTAGTGCGGTGGCTATAACGTTAAACCTACCAACGTCCGTAACCATGATTTTTGGAATGGCTTATCGCGAGAGGAAAAAAATACGTTTAAAATCGGTTAATGGAAACGCCGTCATTTCGCAATAGTTTTTTATCGACATATAGAAAAAATCGCAAAAGTTTTGCCCAAATCTGTAATGGAAACGCGCCTAATCTAATGGCGAGCGAAAGAGAGATAATGTTGTTGCAGCTGGAGCTAATCGACGTTGAACAACAAATGATTTTATTGCAAATGTTTAATCGCAGAAGAATCAAACGTTCCTCAACTTGATATCGTTGAAACAAACAGTGCAGTGGTCACTTTAAAAATGGCGGTATAGCGGGAGGGGGAAACCGGACAAGCTACACTCCCGAAATGATGTAGTATAATCTGACCAATCACAGCCCTTGTGGTCTGCGTCACCTCGACGCGTAGTTACAATTTTTTGGAGGTGCACGTCGAGCTACGGCGGAGGGGTCGGACTCCGGAGAGGGGTTCGCGGCGACGCAGAGAGGTCTGCGGGGGTACGCCGTCGATTCGACGCAGAAGCATAAAACAGGCTTGAGTGTTAGGAAGTATCGTGTGATATCAGGTCTTGCGAGGTAACGAATTGCTTTAAGGCAAAAAAACAGATCTGATCAAATTCTGATAAAATGAGCATCAAGCAGAAATAACCCGGCGCCGTATACATGTGGTGTTCGAGGCGCACATACAATACAGACTGTCAACAGTTAAACAGAGCGCGCGCAGCTCTTAAAGGGGCCATACCTTTCCTCTCGTTACAGCGTCCATCCTACTGAACAGGTACCGGTGTACAGGGGGAGGGGATCTGGCCGTGAGTGCGAGCCATCTCTGTGTGAGTGCTATTCACGACAGTACAAGTACTCCACAGCGACTCTAGGGGTCGCTGTTTGACAAAAACGGAATTCTTACTGAGTGCTGCTGTAAGTCATCCTAGGTGTATATGACATTCTTCTCTCAGACGAATACAATAAGAGTTGTATAATCCAAGCTTTAAAATGGCAGTGTATTTTCTGTTTTCCGACTTCTGTTTTGAAGTCCATAAAAGTGCATCTATCCATCATAAAAGTGCTCCACGCAGCTCTGGGGGGTTAACATTCTCACACGTAAGTTTAAAATATTCTGGCTGACCCCCCAGCGTGTCTGTATTTCAAGATGTAACGCAAGTTATTTGTTTTCCCATTTTTTTACTGACACTGACAAGGTTTGTTTGAGCTGTGACCCTTTGGTTTGAAAGGCCCTTTACATTTGCCAAAAATATTATTATTATATTAATATTAATATAGTATTAATATAATAATAATTATATTAATAATTAAATTAAATATGCATAAAAGGGGCGAGGCCTAGTTGAGTTGAGTTAGTGTGTTGAAACTTGCGGTTGCGGTTTTCGGAAGAAGGGGCTTCATAGAGACAGGAACTAACCAGAGCGTTACTTGTTGAATGGGAAGAGAGGTGCTGCAACAACGGTCATTTTCTTTAAAAAAAAACAAGAATGATTGCCTATTCTATTTGACCCCAAAAACAAATCAAGTCTCTGTAAAAGGGCATAATAGGTCCCCTTTTAAATGTGTTCTTTCTAAATAAACTTGCTTTGCCTTTTGAAAGTGAGCATTTAGATAATTATTTACTGGTTCTGTGATTAAGGAGAAGATGCCAAGGAAAATGTGGGACCTACATAAAATAATTTAAATGCCACAGCTGACTGCTTAAGAAGAAATTATTAAGCAAGTTCTGTCACATTAACTAGATGTCCTTACATCTACTCGTTTCATTGTAAATAATGGAAAGTCATTCTTTTTCTCGTTGAGTCATCCAGGGTTAGTCATCCAACTTTCATCTGGCCTCACATGACCTCAGTGCAATCTCTTCTGTCCAATCACAGATGGAGGGGAGGGGAAATGGAGACGTGATCCAGTGCTATCCATCAATAGCTGAGCATCAAGATGAGGGAGATGATGATGACGACGATGATGATGAAGATGATCAGATACATTATCTCAGTGGTGGAACCAAGCAGAAAACGTACTTGCAGAAAAATGATCACCAAACCAACAAAAAGCTCCAGTTTCAGCATACTACTGTTACAAAGCCTGACCTCGCAAATCTCAGCCCAAGGTGTGTACACATCTACAAATGCATGTATTTAAAAAACATTAAAAGATACAGCATTTTAATAGACATTTGCTCACTGGTACCTGAAGGACCTTGTGAAAACAGTCAAGTGGATTTCTGTTTGTTTGTGTTCAGGGTTGTGGACGGCACTGAGGACAGTGATGGTACAGAAAGTTCCCACACGTTTATATTTTCCTCTGGTCATCAGCACACCATCAGTGGTGCAACTAATACCACTGCGACCACAGCAGGTGTGTGAGTGAGTGAGTGTGTGTATATGTGTGTGTGCTGGTTGATGTTGTTGTTGCGGTGTCTTTCGTCTGTATGCCAATATTGCAAGCTTGACCCACAATGAAGGATAACACCATTTCCAGTATTTGCTAATGATAATCTTTTGTTTATCACCTTAAATAAAATGTCACCCAAAACTATTTTTGTTCCAGATCTGACACAGATGTCAAAGCTGTTCTTTCCTTCTTAAATTGTATTCATGCTCAAGGATATTTATATTTGATCCTGTAAAATTGAAGACTTCTGCTTTTAGCTTTATTTTTTCCATGCACAAAGCTGTAATGTAGCTTCAGAAGACTGCTCTTTATCATTTTTAGACCTTGTTCATTTGATTCACTGTCTATTTTCATATAAAAAAGCAGCTTAGACATTCTGCAAAATACCTTCTTTTTTTGTTTCATGCGAGAAAGAAAATCATACCTGTTTTGAAAGACATGAGAGTGAGTAAAATGGTGACAGAATTTTGGTGAACTCTTCCTTGAAGTCTTTGTAATGAGTTTTCACTGGTTTTTCTGTCATTGTGAGGCAGTTGGACATAATTGTTTTTTCTCTGTGCAGATTTAGAAGCTAAATCGGAGGACACGAGAGGACAGCTTCGCTACCTTAACCAAGAGGTAAATGATTTTTCTATTTAATCTCTGGCAGTCATATTTTGTCTTTTTTTTTTCTCTTTTTTTTTTCTTTTTTTTTTGCTGTGTAATTTAATGGTAGGTCTGCACTTACATTTTATTTACCGTAAAACTTCAAATAATAGCCGAGTCCCAAATAGACGCCTGTCTCTTTTACACGCCTGGTGTGGCTGCAGGTTTGGGTAAATAAAGGCCGGTCTCAAATAGAGGCCGGGACTGTTTTTTAGTTTCGGGTTGTATTTAATCCTCTAAAAACGTCAGATCGTCCACTTTTTGGCGGCCCCAAAGCAAATTTTTGTCCCTCCAAAGCCTTTTTTGATCGGTGAGTGATGTAGAATAGAATGACTGCAGCGCTTGACAGGGCGCGTTACGAGCAGAGAGAGAGAGAGCCCCGGCCGCGCGCGCGCGCGCACTCCCACGTCTTCAAACAACACGAGCGCTGTCTTGCTCTCTCTCCCTCGCGCATATTAATCAAAATCAATTGACGCGATAGTAAAAGGTCGGAAGACCGCAGTTTCACGTGGAGCATTTGGAGATTTTAAGAGATTAGAGACAGGCCTATACATGAACAACATCTCAACACTAAATAAAGGCCTGTCTCTTATAGACGCCTGTCTCAAATACAAGCCGGTGCAGTTCGACGATTTGGGAAAATAAAAGCTCGGGCTACTATTTGAAGTTTTACGGTAGATAGTCTTCCCATGAACTGTGGGTTTTAAGGCTGATAACCCTGCGCTAAATGTGAGTACTGACAGATCAAAACCAGCACAGCTCAGGTGAGCTCCTGGTGCCAGGTATGCACAAGCCATATGGCGGGCTGCTGTGAGAGAGGAGAAGGGGATGTTATTCATACACTAAAGGACATAAAACTCATTAGAAGAGGAAAGTGGGGCTGGCCCCATGATGGTGAATGAGAATATTCCAACATTCCAGAGTTCCACAATGCCCTTGAACCCACCACATGTGGTTTCCCACGTATTGCACATGTATATTATTCTGTGTAATTTTATCAGTTTGTAACAATGTTTATTTGTGGGGACACTTGGGTGCTTGAATTTGAGACTGACACCACATATTCAGTATTAAGGCTGAGCGATATATTAATTACTATTTACTAATATATTATTTATTACTTACGTATATATATATATATACTGTATATTTAAATTTATTATAGTCTTACTAGTTTAGTGTTACATATATATACTCGTGTTGTGTATAGATAGATAGACAGTAGGGCTGCACAATTAATCGCAATTAACATGAAATCGTGCTCAAACCGATTTGGTTTATTGCGATTATGAAATTTGCAATTATTTTTTTTAAGCACAGCTTGTCAGTTACGTACGGCTCTCTGTGATCAGTAGTAAAGGCTGCTCCATTTGAAAGCACTGCGAGATTGAGTCGCTTATACCGGGCATTTAAAAAAGCAACACATCTTCCCAAACTTGAGAAGCATTTATGAACCTCTTGTCCAACAAAAGACAACATGTAATAAATCAATCAAAGCGTTTCAATCTTCTGTTTATTCAGCTACAGCGATAGTATGATGCCCATTGGGATTTCCTGGAATGACGTGCGTTGTCTACTTCTGCAGGGGCATATTTGGAGTGTCTGCACAAGAGAACCCTCTGGCTTTCAGATGGAGCAGCATTTAACTTATTATTATTAACTTATATTTTTATTTAACTGAAATCCTGTACTATAACTAGATTGCTTTTATGCTTTTGTACTTTTGACTGAACTGTTTGCTTGTTTATTTCCTATTTTACAAACTTCTTATACTTTTATAATGGCTAATATTGTTTATTTAAAAATTATTTTTCAATAATAATATTTTATATAAATAACATACAGGATTTGGTATTGAGAAAGGGTCCGTTAGTGATTGTGATTTCGATCAGATGGCAGCAAAGATGTCTTCATGAGTGAGTCAGTAAAGACTTTTATATTGAAAGGGACTGAAACAAGGTTGTAAACAAGGACGTTGTTTTTACTTTAAACAACACCTTATAAGATTTATAAACTTTCAGTTGCATTGACTAGCACTGTCATGGGAAATCCCCTTAACTGTTAAAAGGATAAAGACAAAGATATCGTTTTCCTCAGGGGACATTCAGACTGATTTTGTGATTATGAATATAAGATTGACTTGAAGAATATCAGCTAAATGCAGTTAAAGCACTCGCTTAATCGATCTCTCCCTCATAATCCTCTACTCTACATGTAAGGAATAATTGACGACGGGCCGTTGAATTATTAATATTAAAATAATGTATACCCGAGGTGGTAATCGCGTCGTGGCCGTTACACCTCGGGTGTGCATTATGTTTCAATAGTTCAACGACCCGTCGTCAATTATTCCACTTATACTACAGTTATCACTCCTCAAAACATTGTTCAGATGATGTATTTCAAGACATTTGTCAGGTGTTTGTCCTTTAAAACGCTCTTGTGTGTAGGACTAATTTCTTACGCATTTAATCCCAAGCCTCCGTTGCTAATTCCAAAACGTCATTTTAGAGCTAGTAACGGAGGCCCCAATTACTTGAGTCTGTGTGTCTCTCATCAGTGTTCGGCAGCAGCGTCTCTACTAATAGTGAAACTGTTAGAAGTTCATCTGCTCCATGAACAGCGCAATTATTACCTCGCTTGTGAGAAATGTAATTTAAGTTGTTCAACTATTTTAATGATAAAATCGTCAACATGTTTCTGTGCGAGTGTGTGTCTACTGTATGTGTGTGCGTTTGAGTGGAAGAAAGAGAGTATGTGCTTACTGCTTTCCTTTTATAATAAAACATAATTTTGTGCCAAAGAAACATGGAAATGATTTGTCATGTTTATCCTATTGTTTACTATATTTTAGAGCTGTGAATCTTTGGGTAGACAGCAATTCCGTTCGATTCACGATTCATAGGATTTCGATTCACGATTCAAAGGTTTTCGATTCAAGAACTATTTTTGCAAATTCTGAACGATTCGATTTGAGACTATTCACATTAAAATTCGATGCGATTCATTTGATGCGATTCTGCATTTTTTATATGCATTCATAGGATTATTTAAATGCTTCCCCCAATGTGTCATAGTCAGGATGTGAATTACACAGCAGCCTCAGGGTCAACATGGTCAGAGAGTGAGGGGAAAAAAAACACCTTTGTCCATTGTTAGTTCTTATTGATGCTATTATTATTAACTTTATTTTTATAGCCTTTATAGGCTTTTTTAGAAATTTACATAAGCCAAAATGCTTTAAAAAGGCTTTAAAAGTATTGTTAGTTAATGCTAACTATTGTGTAATAGTGTTTAAGGCTACACAACCTTATTAAAGTGTTCCAGGTACATTAAACATACAATGCTTCCGTGGAGAGACTATCATGCAAACCAATTCCCAACTAATCCTAAACTAACTCTTTTTTTCACAGAATAGTAAGAAAAGCCCTCTTTGTTCTGATTCTGAAAGAAAAAACGCGTCTTGTGTCTACTGTTGCTATAGCAACAAACATATCTGATTGATAGATAAACCGTGCACTCTTATTTCAGTGTTGTTGTTGTAGTTATTGTATTCAGTTAAACTACATCAAGTTAAATTTTATTTATCGTTCATCGAATTTTAGACACTTACATTATGTATTTGCTCCGTCCATGCACTAAATGCGCGCCCTTGAATAAGCGGGGTTTTACTTCAACTGCTCAGGTAATGTCAATGGCAGGGGCGGTTTCTTTATTAGGGCGATTGGGTGACGCACCACCAAAGTGCAAAGGGGACTTTTTCAATCACATTCACATTCAACCACAGAGTTACGCTAGCCGTCACTATATAGAGAGCCTAAGTCCCTCCCGTCCGCTTCCGGCTCATGGGGCCTTATTTCGGAAAAAATATGTATGGTAGTCAATGCGAGAGACAACTCATCTTTTTATTCCGTCTGAACTGTGCCCTGAATTACACATATGATGTTTGTCAATTTAAAAGATAATTATGAAAGTCAAGAAAGTCGCAGTTTGTCATAAAACAGAAGAGTAGCATTTAGTTTTATGTGAAAATCGCGCAATGAACTACATCTCTCGTCTCGTCACCCTGGAAGCGAAACAACGAGCGAGATCCGTTGCTCGTATGTGTGCAGTCTGGTACAAAACACTCAGGTATGACGGCGTAACGTTACGATTATAACGTAAGACTATAGAAAAAATGACAGACGTTCTCTTTCATCATCTCGTTTCGAGATCCACCTATGGGAAGGGCATCCGTACCTGACCTCTGCAGAAGCATCCAATTGCACCAAGTCTGGCTAACAGACAGAAGCGCGCAGCCAATGCCAGGTGAGGCCACACCCCCTTACCTACGGGCATATCACAGCTGGGCGCGCTGCTATTCCTCAGTTGACATTCGCTTCTCGCGATCTCTGGATTGACACAGTTCGGTTGGATTAACGTTACGCTGCTCACTTTCGAGTCTTCAGGAGGACATATCGCCAGATCAGCCTCCGCCAGACGTGAGTGACAGTCGTTTCTTCAGCCTATCCGCTGTGTTTTTTGCATCCGGAGCCGCCCGAGCTCTCGCTGTCCTTCACCTGCTCCTCCTTTACATGGCTGCCCGCCACGGATTTTTCCGAGTTCTTCACCGCTGGCCCACCCATGGCTATGTGACCGTCTAAACAGCCGCTTCCCCCGGGGATCAGCCTATCACGACGAGCCTGCCCGGCCGCGTGTGGTGCTCTCATCGCCGCTATAAGGACCCTCTCGTTCTGCACGGTCTGCTTGGGCTTAACACGCTCAAGCTTTGGAGAACCCGGGGAATTGCGGTCATTGTAATTGCTGCCCATGTAGCTTTTACTAAGCCGGCTTTTAGTTGCACGACACAGCGCGCCGTGCTCGGCCTTTCTGACTCGGAGGAGAGACACGGTGATGATGACGCGCTACCGGGGGACTCCCGGAGCGCCACCTCTCTAAAATATTTGAGCTGACATCAGCCCAATCCGCATTCC